TGTCATCGGCATCCTTTATAATACAAATACTACTATAATCTTGTGGTCAAGCAACGCGGTGATGGGACACACGAAATGYGTTCATGTGTAAATCATCGCTTCACTGTAAGGATTTACAGAGGACATGATGGAACWGCGAGCTGTTTTCATTAATAATCCCTATAATATTCACACTGTCTGAACAACAGGGTGAGAAAAGAAATTCTACCAGGACATCAAGGGMAATTAACAGGAATAGTCAACTTCTGCATATCTAAAACTGTTCCTGTGTGGTTTTCGTTTGAAAAGAGCTTGGGTTGCTCATTTAGTTGAGAAGAATTAGATGGTTTTGTTGTCGAAAGAGTACAGACCGTGAGGTTACACATTGCTTCTATGAATCAAATCTATTATCCACATGATAATAATTATCTTACCTGCCGGGACGCAAATTGTATGCTACACTTGACTTTACAACCAAGAGAAGTAGAACACACGTCGACAGCAGGCCATATCCAATTTTAAAAGCTCTCATAGCTACTGGAAACTCSTGTAGGAGAATCGATCGTCTGTATGTACAAAGACACGCAGTTCGACCAGTTGTTAATGAACAACAACAAGCTACCGGATGCGAATGACTGTTGAATCGATCAGAAAGGGATCAAATTTCAAAGGTCAAACCTGCCGCTTGCTTAGGGGATGTTTATGATAAATATWAAGTGAGTGCTTTGCAAGACTTTGCTGTCGTTAGCGATGTCATTATTCGTGTTGTAGCCTTGGARCGAGTTTTACTGGTTGAATCCCTAAAGCAATTTATTTCAGGGAGGGGAGGGGGGAGGATATGCGTGTCACGCACCGAGTTTGCCACGCGCAACGAAACTATCGAGTGTCTACTTGCTCCTAACAGCTCGAAAGCRATACCCACTCAAATCAACGCTGATACCTCAAGTGATAATTCACGTTTTAGAGTGGTAAGCCAATTTACTCTCAGCTAGAGACCAATCCGATTTCATCCCATGCAAGCGGTATTAGCTCAGCTCAATAAAGTGATCGAGATAATCTAAAAAAAGTGCTAGAATAGCAACCATTGACTTCAACAAGAAGTACATAACCAGAATCAATCCATGTGAAATTCGACGTTTGCAGGAAACGGTTCTACGAGTATTTTATGATATTGATCAGTTGTTATATACTGATTCCATTTGACATTGTGAAAGAAGAAAAAAAAGAACATCAACAACAACAACAAGTAGAAGAACAGGAAGACGAAGAACAGGAAGAACAAGAACAAGAAGAACAAGAACAAGAACAAGAACAAGAAGAACAAGAAGAAGAACAACAACAACTGAACAAGAACAAGAACAAGAACAAGAACAAGAACAACAACAACAACAACAACAACAACAACAACAACAAAACTAAAGAAACTGATCAGCATGATAGTTGGGCTTCCCCCTTCGCAAGAAATGGCCTTTGCTCGATTGTGAATACTTGTTTTGTATTTCTGACGTACCCTCCGTTAAGCCCAGTGGTCAGTATAAACATCCTGTTATACACATTACATCAGTGCGCTGATGAAAACAGGATTTAGAAATGAAACAAGATTGGTGAAAACGCCTTCAAATAGTGTGGGCGGGCATAGGAATCATTATTAGAGTGCACGTCACATAAGCATGAAACAATTCTTAATATGTATTGCTAAATAAGATTTAGTTATCAACTAACTAAGAATTCAACAAAGCATAAACACAATGCCAATTATTTAAATTCCTTTGTAGCATTGTTCTCAAATCTTATTTAGTTGATAACTAAATCTTATTTAGCACTACATAGTTAAGAATTGTTTCATGCTTATGTGTCTTGCACTCTAATACCCATTAAAAACTTGTGAGGGCATAATTTTGTTTGGAAGTCACCCAACAGGAGAGAAAAATTTTGGCTTAAAAGATAAAAAAACAATAGAGTCGAGTAAATGATCTCGTTTGTTTGTCGCCAAAGAAACCCTATGGAGATTACGGTAGTTTCTTTTTAAAATAACACAAATGGACGTTTTAAGAGCTAGGGAGAGGARATCATGCTTTTGCTTGGCAATACCGAATAAGCTACTGAAAACTGGACAGGAGAGATCGTGACACTCAAATAGTAGTCGATGAAACTACCTGAAGATGGCAGAGGCGACCGGAGACTAAGAAAATATAATATGGCGAGTCAGGATAAGAGATGTAACAAGAGASAAGAGAAAATACAGGACATGTCGCATACATATATCTTTTTTTATTATCAGTCGTGAATCTTTTTATTGCGTTCARACAATTTTTTATCATTACTTTTGAAGTATTGATTATACAAGACACTAGAGTACAAACACTAAAACTGTGCAACATAAATACCACTAAATACTGCTAATTCTATTGTTTTCTATTGTTTAATTAACACTATTTTGTAGTAAATAGTGGAAAGTGTTGCACACATTTAATGTTTGTACTCTAACTATAATGTAAGTTTAGTATGTAATTGCCTGCATGACCGCATGATACTATGAGATGCATGATATAGAATAAAGGGAAGTTATAGTGCTGAGAATGAGGCTAGTCCGAGAGAACCTCCCTCTCAGCACTATAACTGTCCTTTAGGCTGCGTTCATAATGTATACCCCAGGGGGGGGATAGTTAAGAAACTTATCAGTGTCATTGTTATCATTTTAATCATCATTAATATCATCATCAACTTTATCATCATCATCAGTGTCATCATCGTCATTTGGATCTGCACTTTCCTTGGAAGACTTTGGAGGGGGGGGGGGGAGTGGATTTTTTTTATTTTTGCTTTAAAAATTTCACCTCCCCCCTGCGGTATACATTATGAACGCAGCCTTATTTCCATATTTTCAGTAATCAAATAGTGCTAAATAGAGGAAAGGAATTCGCATATATAGTATACATTTATACAATTGTATACAATTGCATACAGTTTAGGGCTGATCATGTAATGTGGTTTTAGTTTTGAACTCTGAATCAAATCAAGARCGAGGAATTTGGATAGAAGAACGAATGGAAAGATAAATAAATGAACAAATGGGAGAAACAGATTAAATATTTCATAAAAATATAAAAGAATTTTTACTCCTAGAGACATATTATATAGGCATAAGTCAATAGTCACTATGTCTACGTTTCTTCGRCTGAACAAGGAAATAGATGAAAGAAAACTGAAATTTTTCAATTTCTTTTATGCATCTATTACGTTACTTTCACAAAATAATGAGTATAGTTTTGTTTTTGTTTTTTTGTTTTTTTTAACGTTGTAATAGAGAAACAGAAAGTGTATTTTAGTATAAAAACAATGACTAACGTCTGTTTCTCAAAGCCATCGCTTTTGAGGTTAGGCACATATTGTACAGTAGTTCCTCCTATTGCTTTCTCACGGGTTAATTGCCCTAGTTCGTTATGACGTCACTTTGAAATATTCTATTGTTTTAACGCTAAGGATTATGGTCGCCAAAGGGGATCAGAGTKGCTGCATATCAAATAAAATGTARATGAGCAATCATTTATGCATGATATATACCAAAACGCGATACATTGACGTTTTGCTTTAGTAGACAAAATAAAAGTGTCCAAATTTCTACTGCTTTGCATCGTTTTACGATGTAAACATACTGTAACGTCATATTGAAATAGGGCAATTCCTTGTATTTCGTGTATGATTTCTTCAGGTTTCAGATAAGCTTCTACTTGCGTAAATATGTCAAGTTCTCCAAGCTGACTCTCTTAAATCCTGCAAGGCCTTACAGTCCCTGGATTTCAGTCTTAACCATAAAAACCCAATTATAACAAACACCACCGATTCAATATAGTAGCCGTCTATATTAACAAGGCATTTGCCACCAGCATCGGTACAAGCCTGAAATACAAAAAGACTTTGGTTAAGGTATCCGGGGACAGTTGTTTTTAGTACGGACCAAGACGAAAGAATCGCATCGAAATGCAGTTTATTTTGATTTGATCCGGTCAATATTTTGTCAAATGAAGGATAATAGACCAAAATATGTTAYATATAGATTTCATGAAAATCGAGTATAATTTATTCAAGTTATGGGGAAATCCTGGAAAACACTTAAACTTGAATATTTCGCAAACCAGCCCTATTTTCTCTAAAATATTTCTGAACCTTGTTATTAGTGGTATTACAAATGTGTGTGAAAAYTTTAGACGAATTATGTCGAGCGCAACTTAAAATATGATYTTGTATACACGGAGCAGGCTTTTTCAAAGAAAAAACTGCTACTTGCATGAAAATGGTCTTATTTCAAAACTTCAAGCAATACAAATATATGACTCATWTATATCTATTAAAAACAATTGCAGGAAAATATTTGTTTTGGAATTATCTCACATCAGAGAAATTTTGATTCAAAAGATGGAAGAACAAAAGGATTGAGTAAATGACGTCATCTACTCCAACATTTTTTGCCCAAATTATTAAGGATTTGTATCAATATCTTCTTGAAATCTGTTGCTTCATGGTTATTAGACCCATATGGATAGGATTTTCGTCCAAATAGCCCTTTAAATACAGTTGAATCTYCAAATTCTGCATGCCGACAGCACGAAAGCATWAGTAACCGCGTTAACTGATGGACAAACCAAGCGCGAGAATAGCTGATTATAGACCTTAAAGAGGCATGGTCCACCAGCATTCCATGCGGTCATGTTTTAGATTTTTCATATATAGAAAATGAGGTGACTTCGAATATCCATTCGCAATCCATTTCCATCCATCGGTTTTAAGGTCGAATCTTACAGTATCTCCATTCATATAGTATAAAGGAATAATAAAGAGAAAATTTATGGTAATATTACGAGGGCTGTTTTAGCAGACTTAAGCRAGACTACAACAATCATGCTTTGCTGTAAAAATGGTATTGCTGCACATTGCCTATATTCAAATAATTATCAATTCAGCGYGCGCAAGGATAAAAAAAGTGTTTATATCTGAACTAGTACATAGTCCTCATTGGGTATAAACGTTTTCGCTCATTTACCCGAAAACAAAAAGAAATATTTTACCTGCTTTAGTGCTTTTGTGTTGCACTGTACGTCGCCAGCAAGTCCCAAACATTGCGTCCAGGAAAGCTCTTCTACAAGCCACAAGGCCAAGGTAGGRGGCCAATTTCCTCCTAAGTTAGCTACGGTATTAAGCAGGGTCATGTATGTACCACCAACCTTAGGGTCGCTAGTCTTAGCGTTGAATGCCATCAAAGCCACAAACATGGAATAGAGCGTGACCTGAGGAAAAAGASCAAAATTATAGTGGAATCCGAGTGTCATAAACTTGAACAATGTACATAACATAAAAAGGAGCAAGCTTCACTAGACAAAATGGAGATCTGTTTAGGATTTGAGTCTTGTTGTTAGCTGTGTCACTAGTCATTCAATCACATTTTTAAGATGTATAGATACATGTAGCAGTTGGAGTGTCTGGTAAAATGGTTTAAAAATGCTTTAAATTTTGCTTGTTTTAGTATGCWCTTTCTTATCACGAAGTTTAGTTCTTATAGACCAATCCCGAATTCGCTTGGATGAACACGGAACAATGGCTTCATCTCAATGCTGGAGTTTTAGACAAAAGATAAAACTCCAGCCTTGAAATGAAGCCATTGTTTCGTATTCATCTAAGCGAATGCGGGATTGGTCTATTGCATTAAATTSTACAATCTTAGACAAAAAGGATGAGCGTAACAAACTTTCCCCTCCCTTCCCTCCTCAGAAACAGTGTTGCTAATTAACAATTAGACCACAACATCCATGTCCATGAAAGCATAAGTACTGTCTATAGCACAAAGTTGGCAAAAGACCGTGAAGTCTAGATTTTCTCAACATTTTTCATCTATTTTTGCTTCATTCAATATGACYACAGTATATCATTAATAAACCATAATCAGAATACTGGATTTGATGGATAGTAACATATAATATGAAAATGACAATACCTGATGCGAAGCATAAACTAGCAGAAGTACAGCATAATAGTACATAGGGAAAGCTTCTTGTCCAGGAAGACGTACATTGTTGGTCCACCAAACAACTGCCATAAACACAATACCAAAACAAAGCCGGAATGGCATGGCACGCAGCAGRACATCCAGTGGTCTGGGCCCTGATAGTGAAATTCAAAGAGAATACTCTGAGTGAGTGTTTACCACATAATTGACACATGGAATAATCCCATTTAGAATTCTCCAATGCTCTGCCTCAATTATTAGCTCTATAGACTACTGTCAGGTCAAATTCTTGTGTCAACACAGGAAACCCGAGGGAAGGGAAATGTTAAAAGGAGAAGTTTTCCTGTAGAGAGATCTACATAGTAGGTTTGGACCGTATGGTGGTATTTAGTAACTGGAAATATACTGGTGTAATAATAATAATGCCAGTTTTAACAAATTAGATTGTATAGAAGTTTCTCAGTAAATAAGCTCAGCTAACTAAAATCAATAGACCTTTGAAGCTTTTACGTCATGTGCCATATACAAAATGCATTGTAGGATACAGTAAAAACCTGTGTATAAGAACACCTACATGTATTTTGGCAGTTCAGGTTCTTTTATTTTTCAGGCTGAATGTATTCATCTTATATAAGTGGTACTTTATTTCCTAATATCAGTCCTGGGTGTTCTTAATGCACTTGTTCTTATATATGTAGGTTTTTACTGTATGTATGGGACAAAACATGGCAGTCAATGTATTGAAAATCAACAAATGATGTAAAAGGTTCAGAAGTCTATTTAWAAACATAAGGCTTGTATAATTTGTGTACATGTACCTGAAGTATATCTGCTGATGAACAAAGGAAGAAGGATTTGAATTGGAACCATAGGAATAGCTAACATAGCGAGATTTTCTTTAGGGACACCAGCCTCAACTAACTTGAGTCCWGTCAGTGAGTCAGATGCTGCAAATCCAATCTATAAAAAAATCAACAATATTTTAAAATTAAATATGATTTCAAAGATATCTAATGAAGATATTGAAATTAATCTGATATGCACACAGCACTTGCTTGTAACATTTAGGAGCTTGGGGAAAAAGAAAAATACTAATGAAAAAAAACATTACAAAATAATCAAAACAAACAAAAAACAACAAAAACAAATCTCTTTGAAAAACTTGATCTTGAACTTGATGATTTACGTTTACTCAAATTAAAGTCCAATGTCCAAAACATCTGCTTTTTTGCAGTATTTTTTTATCAATGCACCAACCGGGTAAAAACATTAACCTTTTTTTTAATTTCAACAGAATTACTAATGACCCTGTTTAGCTTTAGTTATAAGTAGTTAAGCTTTTTACTCTAAAGTCCCGTTTACACTTGCGATTTTTGAAGCGTGATTGTTGTGCAACAATCACCTGAGTGTCGAACATGCTTGAAATTTATTGCAACTTGTGGTAATTTTCGATCGACGTGACAATTGCAGGGCTGTTTACACGTAAGATTTAAGGTGAACAAGAACAAAGTGTCGAGTACTGCGTGACAATTGTGCTGCAAATATCGCAAGTGTAAAAGGGCCTTAATAATCCAGAAACCAGTGATCATGATAATGAATATATCAACCTGAAACTGAGCTTGTTTCTCTGCATGGTACATGTACTCTCAATATTTCTCAACCTCTTTGTGTCAAAGAGAAAGGAAACACAAGGAGAAGTATACCATGACACATGGAAAACTAAATAAAGCTTACCTTTAAAGTTAAAAGKATTAAAATATACTTCAAGACTGCAGGCAAAGTAATAATAGTCCATAATGACTTATAAGTTGACACAATTCCTTGAGCTTCRTGCTCTCCACCATGAACCTCCTCCTCAGATCTCTCATGCTTAAAAAGTCCAATAACTGTTGTAGTTATAAGAAAAACACATCCCCAGAAGAACAAAAATCCAGCCAAATCTATAAGCCCAGTGTCTAGTGGCTGTGTTCGCACATATTTGTTTGCAAAWTCTGGTGAACTTAATGCAAGGAAAACAACATTTCCAAGGAAGTATCCAGCTGTTTGTCCTATAGTATTGCATGTCGATGCCCAACCAACATTAGCTTTAGAGAGCATAGTCAAAGCCCAGCCATCAACAGCTATGTCCTGAGTGGCAGTGAGAAAGTTCAGACAGAAAAATATTGAAGTAAGAGTGAATACATTTGGTGTGGAGTTGTCTTCTTCTCCTAGTAGATAGTTGATGTACTGAAATACAATTTAATTTAAAATTTAATTAATGCAACACTGTGTTAATTAGTAATATCAGGTTCTAGAGTTCCAAGAGGCATCCTGAAACRTGGCCAATCACTTGCATCATGTGCAATCATTCAATTCAACGGATTACATATATTAAAAATAAAAAAGTAATAAAAA